AACTACCTCCTCATCAAAATGTGTTAGTAAGGTTTTTTAAATTTGGGGAGTAGACTATAATAGTAAACTATTAATATGGTAAATCAAACACTAGTGGTTCCTATTTAATAGAAATATTAATCAAAAATCATCAAGATCCTATATTAAAACTGATAATTGCATCTTCATCTTCATCTAATATGGTAAGAGATTTTGAAGTATTTTATACTAAGCCAAAAATTATGTTTAAGAATTTGATTGAAGGTTGTTTAGAAAAAATAGATGATAATTGTTTAATTTGTCAAGAAGGTTGGATTTAAGATGAATTTCTAGAAAATTGTCATCCAATTTTTGGGGATCTAATCATTCAAGGTTAAGAATAATGTGATAATCTAATACCTAATCATTCTTGCTATTAATGCAAGCATCCTTGTGTTGAAAATTGCTATATTTGTTAATTCGCAATTTGTTTATAATGTATTGAGGGATTTGTAATTAATTCCAATTTAAGTAGCGATCCGTTTTTTGGAGATGGCAATTTGATTCCATATTCAGCCGAATAATGTGAACTATCTGTTAATGGTGTACGGGATGGTTGTCATGATTGTAAATTTATTCCAATCGGTAATTGTAAAACTATATAATTTTCAATTTTTTGGAATGTGAACTAGGATATAAAATGTTAGATAATAAGTGCTTTCCTTATTGCGGAAATTAAATAGCTCTATAATAATAAGAGGATTGCGATGGAAATCTTCAATCTTAAGATGGTTGTTATTAATGTAAGTTTGAGTGCATTGTAGATTGCAAAGTATGTGATCGAGGGTATGAGTTTGTTGATAACAATTGTCTATCTGTTTATGGTGATAAAATTGTAACTAAAGAAGAAGATTGTGACGATGCCAACACTATCGAATTTGATGGTTGTTTTCAATGTCAATATTCTTGTCCAGAAAATTGCTCTAATTGTTATCAGGGTACTTGTTTAGACTGCAATGATCAATAATAATCACGAATTTCAAATTAATGCAATTAATCATTAAATTTTGGAGACGGATTAGGAATAAGAGGTTGCGATGATGGTAATTATTAAGCAGTCGAGGTTTGGGTTTGGGTTTGGGTTTGGGTTTGGGTTTGGGTTTGGGTTTGGGTTTGGGTTTGGGTTTGGGTTTGGGTTTGGGTTTGGATAG